ACGTGCTGGGCTTACATTTGACAATGCAATTTAAGAGAAATAAACAAACATGATCGCAATAACAAGAGGGCTTAATTGAGCCCCCAATGCAGGACAAACATGTTACACAATGGGTAAAGGAAAAGGAGCGGGAAAACATGAAAGAGTGACCAGAGAGCGGGGAAACCCCTAATTGAGTACATTGAACAGCTGGCTCTATTCCACTGTTATTTGGCCATTTGAACTTCATTGTTCCTGTGTGTGATGGATGCAGCTGGAGAAGGCTGAGATTGGCGGATGGAGAGGGGCCCATTTGTTCTGCAGGCTCTGAGATGAGGGGAGGATATATTTTCCTTTCATTCTCCATGGGAGGGCATTCACTAACTCTGTAAATAACTCCAATTAACTCCAGTCAAGGGGTGACATGCCCTGCTGCAGTCCATCATGTGCCAAGGTCTGGCTCACATTGGACATTATTGCAGTCAATAATTACTTTGTATACTTAAGCAATAAGGTATGAGGTCATGCTATGTTAAAACTAGGGATGCACCAATATTAAAATATTAATCATAGAAAATAAGAAGAAATGTTTCTTGAGCACCAGCATCTTCTTCAGCATGTTAGAATGATTTCTGAAGGATAGTGTGACACTGAAGACTGATTTAATAGCTGCTGAAAATTCAGTTTTGTCACAGGAATAAATTAGTTTAAAATACATTAAAATAAATAATTTTATTTAAATTGTAATACTATTCACAGTATTACTGTTTTGACTATTTATGAGCAATTTAATGCCGCTTTAATGAGCATAAAAGACTTGTCTTACTAACCCCAAACTTTTAAAGAAAAAAAAAACTCTTTCATTAATCAAACTTATTAAATGCCACCTTTCAACAAGAAGATATAGGCTAGTCCATGACAGGTAAACAACCAAATGGTATTTCCAATCAGCTTCCTGGAACTTTCTGTTTTATAATGGTCTTTTATAAGGATCCAACATCTTTTATATATAAGAAAAAAGACAAAACAAGAGCCTGAAAGAAAATGCAATTATTACTTTGGAACAGAGAAATAATCTGATGCATAGTGAAAAGTCTTTCTGACCAGAAACTATTGGAGAATGGGTAATTGTGCTCATCCACCAAACAAGCTAACCTATAATTAGTTTCTCCTAGGGAAGAAGAAAGCACTGAATATTAACTTCTGCTTGCACAGAAAAAATAACAGAGTTAACCTTTTAAAAGATGCTCTCTGCAATGTGCTTACTCAAGGTCAAAGAAAACAAGGCATGACGGTCTCTCAGTTCCTCTATGTAGCAGTTTCAAATCCACAGCTCCGTTTCCATCAAGGTCTGCACTTTTACTTCAGCTTTTCATCACCAGCTCAGATGAAGTCTTGAGATAAAGCTACATCAGAGACCTTTTCCATCAAATCTGCTGCTGCGTTAGCAATGACATTCAGTCTGTTTCAGGACAGAGTTCAGTCCATGCATCATCCCGTGATGTTCCTGTTGCCCCCTGTACTGTAACATAAAGATCCTATTCTGTTTACTGCTGTTTACACAGCAGACGGCAATGGGCTCCAAAAAAGTCTGTTTCAACAACTAGAGCATTGTGTTTATCCATCGAACTTCTGCACGGAGAACATAGTAGCTTGTGGTCAAGCACAAATTAAGGATGGTTATTAGTATCCTGTGCCTTAAGGAAATAAAACATTTCAAACATCATATCATGGTGCTAACACCTACACTGGTTAACAGGTGCTAGAGGAGTAGAGTTGCAAGCTGGGAAGAAAATTCCCTTTTAGCACATTTGCGGAAAGCAAAAACTTCCCCAAATGTTCTGTAGCTGTTAGGCGGCTTTAAACCGAGCAAGCTGAGAAAGGAGATTTAAACAGACGGCTGCCACTTGTGAGCAAGTGCAGTATATTACCTATCTCAGAGGGGAAATAGATCTCTTGAAGGGCTCTCAGAGCTTTAAAAAAAAAATTGTTGTTGGATGTGATGAGGCTGGAAGAGGTAGAGTAAGGAATGGGGTTAATACACTGTAATTTCAGTCAGTGTGAATGCAAAACAGCTCCACGGACCGTCCCCACAGTCTGTGGCCTGCTTAAAGGCCAAACCTCAGAGATATTTTCTTCTGCGAGTTTGAGAACAGTGCATCTGAAGTCTCTATCTCTGTTGAGAGCAGTCTCTCTGTCATCTGCTCACACCTCAAAGCCACAGGAACATTAAAACATCTGCTGATCTTCTCATGATGCCTGACGACTGAGAAGCAAGCACGTCAATGAGGCCAAGTCTGAAGCTTCAGCGAAGTTCGGCATGTACTGCATGGCTTCACGCTTCTCTCCACAATGCTTTCCATCTCTGTCACCAAAAAAGACACTGAGGAGATTAAAGCATGAGAGATCCAACACTGCAAGGCTTAAGATTGCCGCCACAGCCCCAGATACAACAAAGCTTGCCAATCTCAACTAGATTTAATACATCCGGCCTATTCATCTCTGTTCCAGACCACCGTTTTGTCCACTTCTTAATGTCAATACTAATAGATAGTAATGCATTTAGATCTTTCCAGTAAGAGGAGAAACTCAGAACCTCAGCAATCCTCTGATAATTATCAAACAGGGTTGACATTGCTAGAATACAGCACACAGTCTGAAGATGGGTGTCTGTATCATCACCATGACGATACTTTTTAATAGCTATTAAAAACTGAGCAGTTAATGAAACAAAGAAAGACCACATTCATTTTTCCCCACTGTTATATCAGTGGCTTTATGGTTAATTTTTCTTCTTTTTCTGTTGTTGTTGTAATTTGCCCACAGCTGTACAACAATGTAAACAAACACAGAAAAATAGTTACACAGATTTGGTGAAAAATGAAATAGTGTGGTTTTTAAAAACAGGGTATAATTAAAAAGAAAATACTTAAAAGGGGTTAAAAAATAAAATGTTTTAAAACTTTTTACTTTTAATGTTTAAAAAACGTTTTCAGTGCATATTTGTGGATTTGTGAACTTTTTGGCCGGGTTTTGTTTCTGCGTGTCGTAAACTCTTGGGGCGAGGCTTCAAAACCTGGGTGTTTTAGGGGCGTGATATTCAAATGACGATTGTTTTCTGGCGCCACATTTATCAACATGCGATCATTCGTACGATGAGATCGGCGGCATAGGAATGTTTCATAAATCACACGTGAACGCTGTCGTAAGTTGATTTGTGCGCACAGATCTGAGATTATATATAAGACAGGAGGGTGCTGGGGGAGAGAGACAGAAAAAGAGAGTCCCATTGTTGGTCTCAGGAGTTGCAGTTTAATTACTATAGCACATGCGGGGCCTCTATGAAGATGCCTGGCTACAGGCCGGGGACCAGCTTTTATACTGATGTCTCCCTGCAGCCCCACTGCACTATGAATGAACTCTCCTTGCTTTTCCACATGGCTCTTTCTCCTGTTTCCCTCCTCTCTTACTGTAACTTAATGTATTAATATTATTTCCTATTAAATTATATATTCCAAATGGTATGGTCCAAATATATATATTTATTATATTTTATTTTTTATTATCATTTATTATTTTCATTATAACTATTGTGCTCAAGATAAAAAAAAAACAATCTATGTGAGCCAGCCAGATGTTACTGTGGCAACATATTTAAATTAGCAGATTTTCAATGTGAGAAAAACAAACATTTCCGTTTACAAGCCACAAAAAATGTATACATGATTATCAATCATAAGAAACCCTGACAGCACAGCACTAACCTGACTATCGACAGTTCCATCATCTAGCACTGGGCCATCAAACCATCCTTATTGTTAAGCCCTGCACTCATATCGATTTCTTGACCTTTTGTCTTCCCTCCCTTCCTCTCTGTAATCTGCAAAAGGACACATTTCTATCCCCCCTTTGTGTGGGACAGGGAACCAAAGGCTGGAAGGCAAAGTAGAGGATCTCTCCCCAGAGATTTAAGACACGAATGACACAGCAGATGTGGAGGAGCTGTCAGCCGATATCCCTGCTCCTGTCCAGAGCGAGAGTCACAGCTCCTGGATACGACAACATGCCAGGACGGCCTGTCAGTTGGTGTCCGCAGGCTAACAAATGCTGCTTTACCTTTCCATCAACTCACAAAAATTTCATTTCAATCATCTTCTCACCCCTGCAGAATCTGGTGAGACTGGGATTGAAAGCATTACTAAAATTAAACTCTTCTACCAAAACCCAAGCCACAGTTGCCAATCAAAAGCACTGGGATATAAACCAAAAGCTGAAACACTACCTGCTGGCAGTATCAAACGCCTTATGATACGTTTTCAAACTGTGCAGTATTTTCCCAAATAGTCAGTGGCCTAAATGCAGTTTAATTGATGTGAGGCTACGCTCTAAACCAGATGCTAGGATTTTCCTCTGTAGTCAAGGGCCATGTTTCATGTCTGAAAAGCACAGGCTGACCCAGAGCTCTAATGGCCCTGAGGGAGAGTATTCTGCATGTGTCAGCTTATGCCCGAGACACACTTTCTCTCTTAATAATCTCTCTCGCTTTGTTCTCGCCTCTGCGCACTCTCTCGCTCTGTTCTCGCCTCTGAGTCTGCCCGGCCCACCAAGGGTTTAGTTTTAGAGGGGGTCAGTCTCTTTCATTAGGGCTGCTGTTCTTGATCAGAGTTGGATTTCCATGATAATGATAATTCCATGATAAGACTCAAACTGACACCAGAGGAAACCCAACGAACAGACCAGTCACACCTGACCTCTCCTATGTCTATGTTCATCCAACAGGACGATCAAAGGGCAAAAGATCAGTGTCAAAAAGAAAGGCTGTATGAGTTATGAGACTGACAACCGTGATAACTCTAAAAGATGATCTTAAAAACCATCTGCAATCATCTCAAGCATGATGCACAACAGTGAACAAAAGTGAAATGTCTGCTCTATTCCTTTAGTTTCACTTTGTAATGGACAAAACACTGACCAGACCATGTGTAAAATGGATTATAAGTGAAATATAAAAAGCATCCTACCGGTCTTGTGACTGTTCTTCATACATTCTCTCCTTGGCTTCCTTAAAGAGGCGGATTGCTCTTTTGGATTTCTTCATCAGGCTGTCGATGTACACTTTGAAATAGTCATTCTCACTTAGCTGAGTAAGTCTCTGGTTCTCTTCATATTTGCACAGAATCAGCCTCAGGTGCTGGTAAGTGTCAGGTAAAATATCCAGGATGTACGGAGGACTGTTCTTCAACTGTAGTCTGGGGTTCTGACATAACCTCACCTAAAAAAAAAATTTCAAGAATCAATTTATTTAAAAAAAAAAATTTAAAGGCAGGTGGTATTTCTGACAAATCTTTTATAAAATATAGTAATGATAGATGCATGGGAAATAAATCACATAAGATATAGTATAAATGTAAACATTAATATATAAATAATGTTTTTTTAATCACAAAAGGTATACATGTTTATATATAAAACATGTTAAAAAAGGGCGCTCAAAATATAAATTTCTGTGAGATATACAAGTTCCAATTTTATATTTTTGTTATATGTGTGTGTGTGTAACAATAAATATACATAGACACACACACACGCATTTTTTAATGTTTTTGAAAGCTTCTTATGAAATAATAAATATTACATATTATACACAAATTTTTATATACATTTTTATATAACAAATCGAAAAATCACAAATTACAAAGGACTGCATATATAAAATAATGGGAAAATATTTTGTCTATTGATTATATATAAATTTATAATATACAGTGGGTACGGAAAGTATTCAGACCCCCTTAAATTTTTCACTCTATACTTTCCGTAACATAACTACATAACTTGTGAGATAGATAGATAGATAGATAGATAGATAGATAGATAGATAGATAGATAGATAGATAGATAGATAGATAGATAGATGAAGTTAACTGGGTGGATTTCAGCAACGAACAAACTTCTCGAGTTTGCAGCCAGACTGTAAACAGTTTGCTACAATGTATCAAACAAACGCTTCCAAACAACCGACTTCATGGAAAAGTCTCTCCGCGCGGGAGAGCAGAGGAAGCACTGTTGCGTCATCGGCAGCAAGACTGTAAACACACTCAGGACACTTACTACTTTGTCCATGAGTTTCCATGTCTTCTCTACGGTCCGGCGGTCCGCGGCCGCCTGCTTGGGGGGTCCGACAGCGTCCTGGATGGCGTCAATAATGCCTAAAATACGGCCTTTCCGATTGTTAGGTGGTCGTCCACTGAGAGCAGTTGCCATTTTCTGCACACTGTAACACACAAACATGTTGCTGCTGAAGGCAACAAAACACATGTGGCCAGATATGTGACAGTATAAATGTGCTGTACCAGCACCGAAAACCTTCGGTCTTCTATATCTGTCCAGCGTTTAGTACAAAGTCAAGACTAGTCAAGTGAAATTAAAATGCTTGAACTTTGTAACTAAGCAATAGCAACGCCATTATCCCATTTAATCCCACTGGTTACATTTGTGAACATTAAACCATGTATGATACAATATACAAATGCACCTATCATATACTGTACATGTAATGTGTATAGGGTCTAATAATAATTTATGAACAAAAATTTGTTTCATACAAATCACGGTCATTATCCATGTAAACATGTCAGTGGTCACTTTTGAATGAGTAACTGATTAAATCACATTCTTAAAAAAAGCACGCAGTTTGTTTAATTAGGTTGACTAGGCAGTAAAATACATGTCCCCAATTAACTGGGAATGATTTGGGATTAAAGGGTTTAAAACCCACCCTGCAAAAAGGGTTACAGTGTTGCACTATTTAAAAGAGCATGAAACAACATGCGTTTTAGCAAGAAATATAACTTGATGTTCAAAACCATGACAACTCGTAAGTCAAAGCAAGGATCTTAAAGTCATTGTAAAATGCGGCAAATTGCTCTTTTGTATCATCTATAAACTCCAGACTTACTGCGGCAAAAGGAAAACAGTGTAGCTGCCAAGACAGGGAATGTCAGAGTTCCTGAGTTGAAGCTTTAGGGAGGTCCCCACAACAAATACAACAAACGCAACAAAAACACAACGCCAATGCCAGGAACCGGTTACATCTCTGCCCAGATGTTCAGAAACTTGAAGCGGCTTTTCCGTATCCTCACGCAGAAACCACTAAAACGCAGTACAATCCCGTTTTTCTCGCTGTCTGATATGGTCGTGTCACTGCTCGCTTAAAAATCAGTACTGGAACAAGAAGCAGCGAAAGCAACAGGGAGGAGCCGAGTGGGCGGAGCCGATGAAGCAATCGCTCTCAGGTGGCCAATCAGAAGGCGGGAACGTTCTCGGCGGTGATGGAGTCCTCCAATCGCCAATTAAAGTGGAGACTTTAACTGCATACTTAATATTTCCGCAAATAAGGAGGCAAATGAAATCGTGCAAAGCGTTTTGTAGGTTGTTCCTGTTATGCAAATTGTACATTCAGTCGTCTTCACTTTCTCCGATGGAAACAAGTATTATGGCAAGCCGGCTTAGCATTTATTACTTAAAAATACCTAAATATTGTGCCATGTATGCTAATAATTTTTTATTACTAGTACCTAATCCAATAGTGACTAGTATATTTTTTTTCACTTGTACTATTCAATAGATAATTGCACTTATTTTAATAGCAACTAACTTCAATTCAATTACTCATTAACTTATTCATTAGATACTAGCACTTGTTTTTTTATTCCATTGTTATTGATAATGCTACTGGTGACAATGGAATAGATATTAGTATCTCATAAATAGCTACTACTAATACTAAAATGGATGCTAATTACTATAAAGTAAGTTCTAGTACCATAGATAAGTAAGGGATAATCAACGGCTTCGTGTCGGGCAGTTCTTTGCCGCCCGACGCACGGCTAGCCGTTGATTATCCCGCTTATTCCATAGTCATTTGCCAAGTTATAGACAAGTTAAAACTAGTATTGCTCTTTGCAGCACAATATTTGACCGAATGGGAAAAATTAGAGTTATTTTCATCAGTTACGGCACGTTAGCGCTAGCATTCTGCTCGCTTCAAATCATACACAGAGATGAAATAGTGCAGTAAGACCACGTTTATTTTAATGAATTATAGCATGTATTTCAATTAATTATCGATCGATCGCTTGAGAGAGAGAGAGAGACAGAAAGAGATGACAGTTGTGTATAGCTGCGTCTGCGTGTCTCTCTGTACAAACAATTACTTCAAAAACAGCGATTTTACCACCTCGTTGCTGAGGAATATAATGTAGCGATCTAGTATCTAGGCTATTTTATTCATGAAAATCACGGGGAAGCATTGACAACAAGTTTGTGTTTGTGTGCAGCGCAATCAGCGATCTCTGACCTCTCTCTCTCTCTCTCGCTGTGTGTGTGTGTGTGTGTGTGTGTTCTCTCTCTCTCTGTGTGTGTGTGTGTGTGTGTGTGTGTGTGTGCGCAAGTGATGCATGTTGGTTAGTGTGCATCAATTAAAGCAGCACATTAATATAGAACGGTGATTAAACTGACTTGGAACTACCTGTGCATTAAACGGTTTTACTGCATACCTGCCAGCCAATCAGAATCCAGTATTCAGACAGACCATGGAATAAAATAGAATAAGAAGTAACTGGAATATTACTAAGTTGAAATTTCAATTGCAAAAGTTTGTGATTTGTTGCTAGTAACATTAGAATCGTTGAATTGGGAAAGTGACAAGTAGCAATGGAATAAATACTAGAATCTAATGAATAATTTAATAAAATAAGTAGGCTAGGCTACTACTGATGTAAAAATAGATAGGACTATACTAGTCAATTTAAAATAATAGATGTTAAATTTGCTTTCCACAGGTTCTGTTGTTTAGCTGCCCTATATCCACGTGGGCCATTGGCGGAACATTTTGTTTCGATCGTTTAATAAGGAATGTCTTGCTCTTCCTCTTCTGCATATTCTGTCTTCATCTCCTTCAGTTCATCTTCCTCATGTTTGTATTCTTAGCTGGATATTCACAGTCATGGAAAACCTGGAAATATCTGGGATTTCAACATTTTGATTTCTAGGCCTGGAAAACTTAATTCATCCAGAGTTTTGTATGTTAAGGCTTGTTCTGTTTGTGAACGATTCATAATTTTGAAAGGATTCTTTGATAGAAAAGCACTTGACAGTATTTCATCATAATGTCTGGCTTTCGAGTTATGATCTTATTTTCAGGTACATCATGTCATATTTTGTAAATATAAACAATATAAGGCCTTTCCAACAACCAGCAATCTTTTAGATTGGTATTTCACCCATCCCATCCCACCCAGACCAGCTACATATGGATTTAATATTCTACTCTTTAATTGACTATACACTGAACTCACAGTTAAATTTTACAGTTACAGTACAAGAATGAGTGATTCTCTACAGAACCTCTGTGAAATATGGAACTGTGAGGTCAAACCACTACAAAAAGCATGGTATAAGCACTCAAAAGGGAAACAGGAAGTAGCAAAAACAATTAAACATCTTTGCACCTGAAGGCACAACAGAATATGCAGACACTACAGAGTAGACTGGTTTATTCAGAGATGGCCACAATCTGATAAAGGAATTAGTAAAGGAGATCAGAAATTTAAGACATGACTCATTTAACTGAGAATCGGTGCAGGACTTTAATGTATCCAGAAAATGCTCAGACATGTCTGGAGTGAATGCAGCTATTTATGTGGTTAGTACATAACCCTTCTACTTTGTCAGAAAATCACAGAGAATAATCAGTTGCTTTCAAAGAATGAAAGAAGATTTTATATCGTCCTGGCTTGTAAATACTGTCTGATGGCAAATTTGAAATTTTAAACTTGCCCCTATCTGCAGCAAAGCACCATGGATGATGTTTGTAATGAGAATGGAGGTCCCTGGGGCCATGACCAAGAGGTCACACGATACAGCGCAGCACTTATTAAAGCACAACGCTCTCAGTTCCACTTCCATGACATTACACACACAGACACAGGATATGTGATCCAATATCTCCAGGGCACATCTTTCTCCAAAGAAAGGAAAGCAGATAGTGAAAAAGTTGCACAAGATGAACAATCATATTATTACAGGGGCTGATGTTGATACACACACACACACACACACACATATATGAAAATAAATAAATTCATATACTTTTAATAAATAATTAAAACTCACCATCTCAGTACGTCACAACAGGATGTAAAGCGATTGTCAAGATATGCTTGAAAGGTCAGCATAACTGATGTCCTCTCAAAAGTATCAGACGGTCAGCATAATATCTTGCTTCTCTGTTAGAATTTGACCCTGCTTTCGATTTCCCTTTTCCTGACCTGTGGAGGTCAAGTATGTGATAATAGTTTGGAGGGGAGGAGGCAAAAGAGCCCAGAGTGAGTGTTTCTGGCCAGTCAATAACCCCCAGCATTAACTTAAACCATAAATAAAAACATACAAACAAAACGTAAAGATCAATTAAGTAACAGATCACAAATTGCATCTGTCTCAACCCAAAAAATAACGTACATTGCGACGTGTAGCAAAGTGGCTTTGGCACAATACGCTGACTGAAGTGATGAAAAATATCATCGGCATGTCTCTGAGTCATTATTTTTCTGCTATGACTAAACACACTTCAGTATTTCAGAGCAAGCTGTCTTTCAGGATGTCTGTGGCCTGTTAACAGTGTGCGAAACATGACAGTCACAGATTGCACTCAACAGGATTCACAATCAAGGTGTGGAGGTTCACAGTGAAATGTCAGGATTATCAGGATTGGTATGTTGCTCATTGTTTTGATAACAATATTGTTTTTGGCAACAGGGCGCAGTGATGTTATTAAGTATTGCAAAATAATTCCCTGGTTATTTGCTCAGATGTAAAATTATGAAACTATGTTGCCATAAGACATAAGAATTTCATCTGCTTTCCATACAGGAAGTCTTATAGCATTGAGCTAATTCAATCAGGGAGTTATCATGTGTGCCAGTGCATGTTCAGGCCTTATGTAAAATGCCTTATTGTGTCCACAAGAATGATTTGCTTCAGAGTGGCCTGATAGTAAAGATGCCTATACATATTTAAAACTTTATAAACCAGAATCTAGCATCCACTTACTGTTGTGCGCACTATCATGAGAGAGTGGCATTGCAGCGGAGTTCATCTCAACTAATGTAGTTAACTAATGTTAATAAATGACATTTTATTGTAAAGTGTTACCCTGATTTGTAGCTGGTCCAAGCCCATTCAGATTGGTTTTGATGATTGAGAAACTAAAATATCAACTGGCCTGCAGCAAAACTTAACAGATTAAGGTCCAGCTGGTTTTTGGAACCTGATAGATGGCTTCGTACTGGTCTAAGATGGTCTATCAGCCCAGTCAGGTCCCTGCCAGCTGGCATTTCAAATCTAAACTATGTTGAACCAGCTTGGACCAACTGCAATGTTCTAAATCACTAAAGCTGGATTTTCCAACAGGGCATTCGAATTTTGACTTGAACTGCCAGGATACTGGCTTCAAAAACCTCTCTTCTGATTCCCATGGTTGGACATAAAGTTTAGCAGTTTGTTCTGGTAATGGTATTGTAAACATTGAAAACTTCGGCAAACAAACACAAATCCAGCCCCGACAGACCAAGGCCTGCCAGGACAGAAGATTGTTACCCGCTATTTTTCTCTGACAATAGATTTTCCTGAGGCTGCAACCAATAGCTATGCTAAAATTAACTTTACATTAATGTTAGGCACACAGATTTAATATAAAACATAAAATAACCATTGATATTCATGTAACCTTTCAGCAGTTTTGGTCTGAACAGTGTATTTTCTCTGAAATATCTTTCTGTCATTCTTCTTGGTTTGTATCAGGCTGTGTATCCACAGCGATGCCCATGGCAACAGAGCTATATAAAGATTCATGAAAGGCTGTGGCGCTCAGATAAGACATAGGAGTTCTGTCAGAGAGGAAACAGCTAAAGATGAGAAACAATCCAGTCAACCAGAAAACTGCACAACCTCTAATCTGTACTGCAGCTGGTCTTTGGGCTACTTTGTACCAAACTTGTTCACCCGCACACACACACAAACACATATGCGCACGTACACACAGGCCTCGCTCTGTGGCCTCGCAATGAGGTCGCATAACTGCACCATCATTGCCATCGTCATTATAGTCATCTTCATCATCATGTCCTGTCTTCATTTTCA